TTGCTCAGCCTTTCTTGAAGCTCAATGTAGGCAAAGGTCTTAAAACCTTCTAGGACAAGTCTGCTGGTGCAGTCCAGTTGCATTAGATGTGCCAGTCCAGAACTCCAAACCCATGGCACTGTGGCACGTTGCTTCCAGCACTATTTGCAACATTTCCTCTCCCTGCCAAACTCAATTTTACACTGCATTAGGCTCTTCAAGGCATAATTTGAGCAGACCAAATGCTGAGATGAGAAGCAAATGGCATTTCTCAATGAATAACAAGGGAAAAAGTAAAAGAAAATCCTTGTGTGCTTAGACAGGCTCACTATCTCCCACACAGTTCAATAGCAGCTTGATTCCTTTTGCAGCTTTTCCCCAGATTTGCTCTGATGCCCTGTATGCCCTGCTTCCCACTCCTATATCTCAGGGGACAGTCACAAATGTACCTGTAACGTGCTGGTTAAAAAGTTGTCCTGGGAGACAATGTCCACAAAAAAATCTGCTGGGATTTCATTGAGCTGGTGATACAGCACAGAAATGAGATTGATGTAAAGGTCTTGGTACTTCCCTATGGCATCTTCAGATCGGCACAAGATGTTCAGGAGTCTTTTCCAGTGCTCAAAGGCATCGTACACGTTCCCAATGAGGAAGCAAATGAAAGCAAACTGCAGCTCACCTGTGTGGATTCAGAAAACAAAACACACATAAGACAGATATCCAAGGTATGTGTCCTCCTCAAAGCTCTGTAAATGACTGATAAGTGCTGGTTTGACTTTTGCACATCCTGCCAGCAGTGACTGATACTCTAAACACTGACCATTGCTCTGCTCTTCAAAGAAGAATGGGGCAGGTCACCTGTAACTGTGATTATCATCATTGTAGAGGGACTTCACAGGACTTTACAAACCCAAACAATGAGCCAGACCTTGCTGTTATTTTGTGAGCATTCAGTCCTCCTGAGCCTGGGTGTCCAGAGCCACATGGGACTGCAAACGCCACTGCCATGGAACACTGAGCAGTACATTCACAGATGTGTTTGCCTTGTTGAATTAAGACCCACAGTCCATCTCACTGGATGCTTGGCATCAGCTATTTTGCCACTGTTTCCTATGGTAACTCATTGTTTATTCTACAGTTGTCTTCGACAATTTTGAAAAAGAATAAATTGTATAACATTAATAGAGAAAAAACAGAAGGGAAAAACAAAAGCTCAGTAGCCTCAGCTGTAAAACTGGGAGGGCTTCTCCCTCCATCCTACTACAGAACAAAACCCCGCTGCAGGACCTCCACAGCTTCAGTATTTATTTGCATCACAGGTTGTATAAAAGGCTGAGGAGTAGTTGAGCCCTGGGAGATGCAGCCCTGGCTGAGGGGGTTTCCACATCACAGCACTGGCACAGCCCAGACGCTGCCATGGCAAGTCTCTGGCAGCACATGGAGCAAACACAGAGTACACACATGCACACGGACAGCACACAGAGCACACGTCTGAGCTGCCACTGTGCCAGCCTGGTAGGGACCAGTTGCTGCACCGGGAACCACTGGCTGGGAGAACCATACCCCCTCCCCACACATCAGGAACAAGGATCTGGGGGTGTTCGGCCCCACTCAACACTCCCAGGACTCTGTAAGACCTGTCCTCAAGAGATTGACTTAACAGGCAAAGTGCCAGGCTAGTGCCAGATGACAGACCTGTGACTGCTGCTTTTGACTTAACCTGAGGCAATCTGGGCTCCAAGAGCAGCACCCAGAGGCCAGAAGCAGGCTGACAGCTCCTGACCTCCAGCATCACATCCTTACACCACAAGAGTTGTAGAACAGAATCACAGAATGTCCTGAGCTGGACAGGACTCAGAAAGATCATCGAGTCCAACTCCCATCCCTGCACAGGACACCCAACAACCCCACCATATGCCTGAGAGTGTTGTCCAAACACTCCTCAAGCTCTAAGGCCATGAGTACTGCCCTGGGGTCCCTGTTCCAGTGCTCGACCACCCTCTGGGGGAAGAATCTTTTCCTAATATCTAGCCTAAACCTCCCCTGACACAGCCCCAGCCATTCCCTCAGATCCTGTCACCGATCACAGAGAGCAGAGATCAATGCTGCCCCTCTGCCCCTTGCGAAGAAGCTACAGACCCCAATGAGGTCTCTTCCCCAGGCAACTGGAACAGGCCCTGTTGCTGCTAAAAACTACACCAACTTCTGTCCTGCAACAAAGAGAGATGCCTCAGGGCACCAGGGAACAAGCACAGGTTTCATCCCAGAGCTCTCATTTCACAGTCACAGAATCACAAAATGGTTCAGGTTGGAAGGGACCACAGTGGGGCATCTGGTCCAACCTCCCTGCTCAGGCAGGGTCATCCCAGAGCATGTGGCACAGGATTGTGACCAGATGGGTCTGGAATATCTCCAGTGAGGGAGACTCCACAACCTCTCTGGGCAATCTATTCCAGTGTGCTGTCACTGCACAGGAAAGAAGTTCTTCCTCACATTCAGGTCGAACTTCCTAGGTATCAGTTTCTGCCTGTTGCCTCACATCTTATTGCTGGGAACCACCGAAAAGGGCCTGGCTCCACCTTCTTGGCACTCCTTTAGATATTAACATACAATAATGAGGTCGCCTCTCAGTCCTCCGTTCTTGAGGCTGAACAGGCCCAACTCCCTCAGCCTTCATGACTTTATACCCCCAAATGGGCTACAACCCAAATAAGGGTATAAAGTAGGTGTGCCCCGGGCGGTGCTCACCGAGCAGCTCCAGCGGGCGGCCGGGATAGCGCTGTTCCATCACCCGTTCCAGGGCGTAGCTGAGGTCCATGCTGTGCCGGGTGATCTCCTCGGGAGTGGCCCCATCGGGGTACAGCTGCCTGGGCAGCTCGGTGAAGCGGATCTGGGTGCCGGCTCGGGGCCGCATGCGGGGCAGCCTCGCCAGCCCCTCGGCGTAGCTCTGGCACTCGGCCCCGAGCGGCGGCCGGTGCTGCCCGGCGCGGTCCCGCGTGTGCCGCCCCGCCGGCTCCAGCAGCACCTCCGCGAAGGCGCAGATCTCGCCGCTCTCGGGCTGCAGCTGCTCCGCCGCCGCCTCGCTGATGAAGGAGGTCAGTGAGACCCACTTCTTCAGCGTCTCGTACGGGTACGGGCCCAGGAAGGCGTCCAGCTCCCGCAGGCTCTCCCGGAGAGCCTCGCCCTCCCCGGGGGGCTCCGGCCGCACCGCCTCGCCCGCGGGGTCCCAGCGCAGCACCCGCACCTCGCGGCGCCGCAGGCTCAAGAAGCGGCCGGAGCGCGGCCCCGTGTCCCGCCCGCCGCCCGCCCTGCCCGCGCTGCAGTGCACGAAGTGCAGCCCCGGCGGGACCATCTTCACGCCGCGGAATCTCGGCCCCACGGCCCAAGCGCTGTAATCGATGCCGAACTCGGTGCCCTCGGGCACGTCCAGCACTACCACGGCCGCGCCCTCGAAGAAAAGCTGCCGGGCTAGCTCGGCGTCCGGCCACCGGGCCGCCATGGCCGGGCGGGGCCGAGCCGGACGAGCCGCCCCCCGCCACCGGAACCGGAGATGGAGCGGCCCTTCCCGGAAATCCGGGGCGGTGGTTCCGGGAAGGCGGTGGGAGAGCACCAGGCCTCGCCCGACCCCCGGGCCGGGGCTCTCCGGCCGATCACTGCGGAGGTGTTCAGTGTCCTTCGGGGCGCCTCCCACTCGGCCCCGGCTCGGTCCTTTCCCCCCATCCATCACTTTGCCCGTTCCCCTGTCCCCCCGGCTCGGTACTTGTCCCCGTCATCCATCTCCCGGCTTGGATCCTGCCCCCCAGGCTCTGTCCCTGACCCCCCGCTCACCTCCAGCCCGGTCCCTGTCCCTCCGTTCACCCCTGGCTCGGTCCCTATCACTCCGTCTGTCCCTCGGCTCGGCTCCTAAGCCCTTGCCCGGTCCCTGTTCCCCCCCGTCCATCCCCAGCTCCCCTGCCCGGTGCTGTTCCACTTTGACCCCTTGACCATCCATGCCTGGCGGCTACTCCCCGCTGACCCCAAAACGGGTCCCACTCCCCCAGCTGGCAGCCATTCCTCCTGTCCTCCCAGCCCTGCAGCAGGACGGACAGACAAGATCCTGGGTCTGATGGACCAGGAGCCCCCACAGGACAGACACACGGGGACCCTTGCAGTGACACGCAGACCCCACAGCAGGACAGACCATCCGCAGCACCCTGTTCTCCCTCCCAGGATGACAGACAGAGTCAGTGTCCCCCAGAGCAGGGCAGCTCACATTGCCTCTGCATTTTGAGCAACCTCAAAAGTACCTTTGACTGTATGAGGGTCAGCAGCCCCCACATGAAGCTGCTTCCATCTCCACCAGCCACAATTCCCGACCTGGTGGCACCTTTGTCTGCCCTCATGAGGCCTCACCTGCAGTGCTGCCTCCACGTCTGGGGTCCTCAGCACAGAAGGAATGTGGAGTGATGGAGTGAGTCCAGAGGAGACTGCGGAGATGCTCCAAGGGCTGGAGCACCTCTGCTCTGGAGACAGGCTGGGAGAGCTGGGGGTGTTCACCTGGAGAAGAGAAGGCTCCAGGGAGACCTTAGAGCCCCTTGCAGGGCCTGAAGGGGCTGCAAGAGAGCTGGAGAGGGACTTTGGACAAGGGCCTGGAGTGACAGGACAAGGGGGAATGGCTTCTGACTGACAGAGGGCAGGGTTAGATGGAATATTGGGAAGGAATTCTTTCCTGTGAGGGTGGTGAGGCCCTGGCACAGGTTGCCCAGAGAAGCTGTGGCTGCCCCATCCCTGCAAGTGTCCAAGGCCAGGTTGGACAGGGCTTGGAGAAACCTGGGATAGTGGAAGGTGTCCCTGCCTGTGGCAGGGGTTTAAACAAGACAAGCTTTAAGGTCCCTTCCAACCCAAACCATTTGAGGATTCTATGATTTTGTGATCTTCTCTTTAGACAGAGTTCTGTATTTCCATGTGCAGTGACCCCAGCTGCAAGGTTTCCCTTCACTTCTCCGTCCTCTGAGTAGGAAAGAGGTCACCAAGGCCCCAAGTTGATTTAGCATCAAACACATTTATTTCACTTTTATTGAATACAAGAACAGTGAGCACACACGCATACACCACTGAGCACTGAAAAGGAGTATGACCAAAGGGGGAGAGGGAGAACAAGGGAAGAGAAAAGGAGAGTTAGTGAAGGAACAACAGAGCATTGCAGTTGGTTGGTAAGGTGCTTCTCAAATAAAAATAAATATTATTATTGTTATTGTTATATTACTCATGCAATCGCAGGCCACGTTCAGAATGAATTTGTGGGATTGGATAAAAACAGGCACTCATGTCTCCCACCCCTTTCAACAGAAAGGCCCCTGGAAGAAAACAAGCAGTGACCAGCTATTAAAAACAGAGCGCAGTGATGGGTGGGCTTGAGCTGAGCATCAGAAAACCACACCTCACCCAGGGAACAAGCAGTGAGCTTTTTTCTTTCCTTTTTTTTTAGAAAAGTTTTAGACACTGCCACCCATAAACATGCTGTGGGAGCCAGGGGCTGGGTTTGCTCACTGCAAACAGAACTCACTTCAGTCCAAGCACACGTGAAGTCTAACTGTGTAAGGCCTCTCGCTTCCACAGGAACCTTCGGTTTCCTGACTCTGCACAACGCCAAAAGCAAGTCTCGAGGGTCCCAGTGGCCCTGAGGGGGTTGTGGAGGTGTCCAAGGGCAGTGTCCAAGCTGGGTGGGCTCCTCCAGGTCTGAAAGATGCTGTGTGCTGCTGAACACCAGCACAGTGGGCAGACCACTGGCCCTCCAGCACCCCCTTACCCTCTGACAGTGCCATTGGTGGTCATGGCTGGCTTGGGTGCATTGGAAAAACAACAGAGAGAAAAGTAGCCTACGCAACTGCTTTAACTCTTTTAGGTTGGGGGGGTCTGCTCTCTAAAAGTAGCTGAAGGTGCTTGGCTGGAAGCTGGGGAGACCCTCAAGAGCTGGCAGCCCTACCTGCTTGTGGTCATGCCTTCCATGCTTGCAGGAGAAACCACTCTGCCAGGAGAACAGACTTCACAGGGACGTCCTGGTGAGCAACCGGTCAGTGCAACTGCCAGGGAGCAGCTCCCACCTGGGACAGTGAAGGTGGTGAGCAGGGTCTGTCCATGGCATCCTCCAAGCTGTGGCAGGACCTGACAAAACATGCCTATTTCTGGGCATGGTCTGTGTGACGGGTAGGAGACTAAAGGCAAAATGGTGCAGAATCATGGGCCCTTCTGTTTCTGTAGGAGCTAGAGATGATTTCGAGAAGGAAACCCATTTATTTCCTTTCCTTTCTGGTTTTGGTTTTGAGTCTACCTTAACTGCCTGGTTCACAGTGTACAGAGGCCTGGGCTAGGTCCATGATCCCCTTCCAAAGGCAGCCATGGGGGGAGCCTGTGGCTGAAGGCTGAGCTGGGCTGAGCTGGGAGCAGCTCCACTGACACCTCTTCAACACGCACCTGCTTATGCAGAGGGCCTGGGCTCCCCCATCCAGCCTGGGATGCTGCGGACGCTCTGCAGTGATGGACACAGTACGGTCGCTCCACTGCCCACTCCTAGGCAGGTCAGGGGAGGACTGCCACGGCCCTGCCATTGCTGTCCCCAGCCCAAGTGCCTCGGGCAGCCCTTGCCATCACACCTCAGGTAGCAGGGCAGACAGGGCAGAAACAGCCTCTCTGCCTTTGACACTACTACAAAGCTCAAGTAACTTCATTACTGGGATCCAGAAACAAAGCAAAACCACCCCCACGACTGGCAGGGCTGGAAGGGAGCAATGAACACAGTCCTGCTGATCCCATGGCTCCAGCTGGGGGCCAGGAGACCGTTCTGCCAACAGCTGTTGCAGCTGGAGCCTCAACCCCCTTCCTTACCCCTCCGAGTCACTGCTGCCCCTCCAAATCTAACCACCATACACTGCAGATCAGCTGGAGGGACATTCCTGTCTCTTGCCCTTTCATCTTCCCCCCCCAACTAGCAGCAGCTGAAACCTTCTCAGTTCTCTTCTTGCAGGACTCAGAGTCCCATGTGTGATCTAAGAGTCTCAAAATACACCAACCACAGTCAATCAAAGAGTTAATAATTTAAAAATGTCGGCATCATATTTACCAGCACTGTTGAATTATTTCAGCATTGTTCCCTCCCTCCCCCTTTGTTATATATAATAATATACATAACTGAAATGCACATCCATATGAAACCCCACAGGTTGCTCTTTAGAGATGAGAAACCATATACATATCATTTTCTTTGTTTGAAATGAAATCCATTCCTAAATACCTTCAGAGAACAAGAGGTTGGACAAGTGCACAGAGAAGATAAGGAAGGGAAGGGGAAGAGTTAACAGAACCCAAAAAAATGCAGAGGAACCAGCATGGAATGAGGAGAAGGGCAAAACGACACTTGTGAATTGGAAAATAACTCTATGGTCATAAATTCAGAGTTTTTCTCTCTTCTTTCCAGAGGTGGGGAATAGTTTTGCTTCTGCTTGTGTTTTTTTACTTCAGTTTGCTTACTTCTTGCTTTGTTGCAAAGCAGTTTTCCTTTCCATTCAGTGTGCAACAAATGAACTCATGATTGTGTATCCTTTAATGTAACATGCAAGATGGTGGCTTATTGTATTGTTACCGATACTATTGTTATTATTATTACTTTTTAAATCTTATTTGATCACCAATCCACGAAATTCTTCAATTTATCTGCAGTGGGTTGACTTTGTTTGTTGGTGGTGTTTTTTGCTATTCATTTCCAGCATATAGCAGCAGTGCAAGGATGCATTTTGTTTCCTGTTTATATATATATATATATATATGTATGTATGTATATATATATATAATATATTTGCTATTCCTTTTTTAAAAATTTTTGTCTCTTCGCCATGAACATTGCAGCTAGGATGTCTATGTCTTGCTGACAAATCCAGCATGAAGGCTCCTTCTCCCCTGTTCTCCAGGTTGGAATACAGATGTTGACTTTAAGGAACATGTTGGTCAAGATTCCTGTACAAGGCAGATGGAAAGGACCAGTCATGGAGTGCCAATCCATGGAGTGCAAATCCATGAAGGTTCCTCTTTGTATGAGGGCACTGGACAGTAACTGCAAACACTTGGGGCCACAGTTTGCACTTAATTAGCAGGAGCTCTGGTAATTAGCAGGCATTCAGTCATTGGGCTGGTGTTGGTGTATGGGGGTGATAAGGGGGAGTCACTGCTCCCTCACTTTAAGCCATTCAACTAAAACTGGGTGGCTCCTATGGGACAAGGGAGTGTCTGGGCTTGCTTGTCTGCACTGTGGGACAGGACATACAATTAGGCAGCTCTCCTGACCTTCTCAGCTGCATTGGAGCTCTTTGCTTTTCCAGGCTTAAAAGCTGACAATCAAAATATTCATATGATAAAGAAACAGAGATACCCGTTTCCAAGGAGCCTCTCCAAATGCACCTGCACCCTGGCTGCTGCCAGAGCCCCTCACACAGTTTTTGGCAGTGAGGCTCCCTCTCCTCTCCACCATGCACCATTGCCTCCCACTGCTCTGACATGGGGGTCTGGTGGCTGTGCCACCCCCGAGGAGCTGATGGAGGGTAATGGGGTCAGAGCGGAGGGTTTGGAGTGGGGCAGGACTCCCCAAGCCCTGAAGAAAAGTGTCTGGGGCTGTGACAGCTTTGGGGCAAACCTCAGGTGCTACTGCCTACACCTGTGTGTGTAAAAACACAGCCTGGGGATCTGAATGGGACTAAAACCTCTTTTTTGGAAATGCTTGTCTGATACTTCGGATTGCTTTGCAGAACCTGTAGCCAAGTTTCTCAGCTCATCCAAAAAAGCTGCTGTCCCCTCTTTCCCTCCCTGCCCCAGGGGGACAAGCACGTCCTTTTCTCTTTACATAGAAATGACTGCGAGCCCTGTGCTGAGCAGGAGAGCAAGGTGCCTTTTGGTGGAATGGCATCTGCTTTCTAACCACAACCAGGTGGCCATACCCAGAGCCACCATGCCAAGAGCTGCCACTCAGTGCCGAGGGGCACCAACACCTGCTGCTGGTGGGGACCAGAGACATGTAAGCAGTTACCCTCCTTACCCAACAGATATAAATCACACCTGGCAGCTTCACTTACCTGAGGTTTCTTGTCCCTTTCCTCTGGAGAGGGATCTGTTTCTCTGTATACCACAGCTTTGGTTACCAGCATGTCAGGGTGCTGGAGTTTTGCCTCTTTGATTGCTAAAGCCAGTGCCTAGAAAACAGAAGGATTAAAGCATTTATACTCACTCCCCTGCAATCGGGTACCCTGACTGCAACCAGAAAGCAGCTGGAGCTGAGTGGGATCCCAGGGAGCTGAGTGGGATTCCAGGAGGATAAGGATGCAGGGGTTCAGAGCTGAACCCACAGCAGCCTGGCAGAAGAGGCTGGGGCCCAGCACTGATGGGGACCCCTCGTGCGCTGTCTTTCTCTTGCTGATTTTTCTGTAGAGATGTGCTTCATCCCAGGCTTCCTGCTGAAGCCTGGGCAAAGGAACAGCAGCAAAACACTAGAAAAATCTACAAGAATTATCGAATTTATTATTATAATTCTAAAAATTATTTTAGATCCTTTTAATTACTTTATAATTTTTCTTCTTAAGCAACAAATCCCAAAGGGTTAGGCCACAGGAAAATGACCCCATGGCCCTAGAGATTTCTGTCAGTCTCTGTTATTTCATCGTGAAAGTGTGTCACTTTTTGTTCCTCTCACAGAGGCATCACCTGGAGTGAGACTGTGGTGGAAGAAAGAAAACACCTGGGTTACTTTGGAGTATTTCAACAAAGAAAGGGCACCTGGAAATGTGTTTTAAGACAATAAAAAGGTGATGCCCTCACTGGGCTCTGCGCTGGGATGTGACCTTTACTGCTGTGTCACTGTGGGAGCTGGGCTGGGTGTCGCTGCACCCATGGGGACCTGCCCTGCTGGAAAAGGTAGGGGCCTCAAGGGTCAGTTTTTGGAGAGAAGGAGTAAGGAAGTACGAGCCAGAAGTAGAACTATGCGGTGCAGCATCTGGGGACAGCCAGAGCTAGGCAAAGCCAGGGTGTCCTGCTCCTACCTGGTCCTGGTCCACATCTTCATCTCCTGTGATAATGATGCGCTTCTCTATCCGGGTCTCAGAAAATCCCCCTTTCACAGTCTGCACAAGGAGAAAGAAAGCACTCACCCCAGCTGTGCCACTAGCCAGCTCTGGACGGGCGTAGCTATGCCCACGTGAGGAGGGACAACACCAGCATCATCCTGGGAACTGACCCTGTAATTCAGCAGATCTCCCACTATCCATGACTCAGTGCATGGTGAGAACTAATGAGACAGAGCTGGCCACAGGTGAGAGGAAGGAAAAGGGTTGGGTGGCAGGTACCAAGCACCCCTCCTTCTGCTCAGGTCCCTCACTGAGCTTCTGCTATCATTTATAGAATCACAGAACCATTTAGGTTGGCAAAGCCCTCTAAGATCATCAAGTCCAACCATCAGCCCAGCACTGCCAAGGCCACCACTAACCCATGTCCCCAAGTGCCATAGCTACACATCTTTTGAATTCCTCCAGGGATGATGACTCCACTACTGCCCTTGGCAGCCTGTTCCAGTGCCTGACCACCTTTCAGTTAAAAAAACTGCCGTAATATCCAATCTAAACCACCCCTGATGTAACTTGAGGCCATTTCCTCTTGTCCTGTCACTTGCTGAATATGAGTCAGCAGTGCCCTGGCAGCCACGAGGGCCAACTGTGTCCTGAAGGGCACCAGGCAAAGCAATGCCAGCCCGTTGAGCTCTGCTCTGTACTGGGGCGGCCTCACCTTGAATATTGTGTGCAGTTTTGGGCATTACAATATAAAAAGCCATTAGAGAGCATTCAAAGGAGGCCACAAGGATGGTGAAGGGTCTTGAGGGGAAGCCATGTCAGGAGCGGCTGGAGGTCACTCGGCTTGTTTAGCCTAGAGAAGAGGAGACTGAGCTCAGACCTCACTGGGGTCTTCAACCTCTTCCTGAGGGGCAGGTGCTGACCTCTTCTCTCTCTGACCAGTGACAGGGCCTGAGGGAGCAGCTGGAGCTACGTCAGAGGAGGTTTGGGTTGGATATCAGGAAAAGGTTTTTCACCCAGAGGGTGATCAGGCACTGAACAGGCTCCCCAGGGCAGTGGCCACAGCCCCAAGCCTGTATGAGTTCAAGAAGCATTTGGACAACTCTCAGGCACATGGTGGGATTGTGGGGGTGTTCTGTGCAGAGTCAGGAGTTGAACTTCACTGATTCTTGTCGGTCCCTTCCCACGCAGCATATTCTATGATTCTGCGATTGTTACCTGGAAGAAGAGTGTGTACTTAATTTGGGGATGAAATGGCTATGGGTGAGATCCTCTGCTGCAGCCTTGTCTCCTTCACTGCCCATGGCCCACACTGGGCTGCATGCCCGCCTGACACCTGGCTGTCCTTGCCTGCTGTCCCCTGTGGTCACACCGGGCTGGCTGGGACAGGCAGTGCACAGGGCTGAGCCACGGACAGGGCACTCAGAGCGGGGCACTGTGCAGGCTCCCCATTCCCATGGGACAGCACACCCCTTTTGGCTTGTAAGGAGGAGAGGGGCACTTTCTGCTGTACTAGTCACAATATAAATCCACCCATCCTCTAATTCCAGTGACTTTCAGGACCCTTTGGCTGCTCCCTCTAGAGCTGCTCTCACCTTGGTAACATGGGTGGTGGTGGAAGTAGAGAGGGTTTCTGCAGTGGCACTGAATATGCTGGTGAGCATCTCCTTCCCAGAGGAGCCGCCAGAGATCTGCGGGACACAGAGCAGTGGGATCAGGGGGCTGTCACAGAGGAGCCCCCAGTGCTGGCTCCTGAAGAGCTGGGACCTTCCCATTGGGATGTACCTATTCAGCCAAGCATGGAAGAGGAGAGTGGCAAGGGGAAAAGGTACTGCATTGTGCTTCCAGTTGGACCAAGAGGTTTTGGGGGGAAAGGAAGATGTTTCCACAGGTACACCAGGCCCAGAGCTCCTAAAAAGGGCCTCTGCAGTGGCAAGAGGGTCTCATGGCAGTTTTTTGCTCTTCCCCACCTACCCCCAGGGCCACCCCAGCACACAGGTCTCAGGTTGCCTCTAGCTCTGTTCATCCTGCTGTGTGTGCTGAGGGCTGGGAAGGCTGGGAATGCTGCGCTGGTGCCCTGGCCCCAGTGCTGGCTGTGTTCTCCCTGCAGCACACAAGAGATGAAATTGGGGCAGCATATAGCGTCTGGCCAGCCTGGACTTCATTGAAACAAGGTGATGGAGTAAGAACTCCCTTTTCAGAGGAAGGCCTGCTGCTGGGCAGGGTGTTGGTGGCCATCAGCTCCACCGGGAATCAGAAGACTTTGTGTTTGGCCTTGGGCGGCTGCACAGGACACCCAGGGCTAGGAGTATCGCAGCCCACTGCACCAGGGGCCGGGTATTTTTGGGGAGTTATCCTTCTCAGGCAGATACTCAAGGTGTGTATCTGGCATAGGAAAAAGGCCACAGGCTGAGGTCCCCTGCTGTCTTGCTCCCCATCCTTCTGAGCATCCTTCTGCTCTTCCCAGTGCCAACATATCAGCCAAGGGTGCCAGTGCTGGGAAGATGGGAAGGGCTCCTCACAGCCCCACAAGGCTGCCTTCCTTCCCCCACCCTCCCCCCAAGTCTTGGCCTGGCTGGTGGCACCATGTCCCCCCCTCACCGGTGAGAGGGAGCGAAGGTCTGTGGTGGAAGTGGCCCCTTTCCCAGCCTTGGTGCTGTGATCCTGAAAGAAGAACAGATAGGCACGTTGGCTCAGACACAACATGGGGGCAAACATGGCAGGTCACCCTGCACAGACACCCCTGGTGGGGCAGAGTGCCCCGTAGCACAACTGGCCCCAGTTGCCCCTGCTGGAGCAGAGGGACCACAGGAGACAGTGGTTCCTCTGCCCCTCCAGAGGCCAGTCCCACTTACTGAGGTCACCAGCACCATCTCTGTGGTGCCAGCCGGGGCAGTGGCAGTGGTGTCCCTGCTGCCTGGGGTGCCTCCGTCCACCTGCTGGGGCAAAGGAAACCAGGTGAGCTTGAAGGTGCCATGGAGTAAGTGACACTCACAGTGACAGTGTGGCTGTCCCTTGCTGCCAGAGGATGCCAGGGAGGGCCATGAGGCCACAGACACGTACAGCGCAGCTGGTGGCTGTCACCCTCTGGAGATGTTCCCGTGTGCCAGCACTGTCCAGCAGCATGGCAGATGGGGCCAGAGACACAGAAAATATCTCTGGGTGGGCTTTGGTTAGTGTTTCAGGGACTTTAGCAAGCCAAGGGTGATCAGAGGCCCCCAACCACCCTATTCAGCCCGCCCACCCTCCCAGCTGCCTGAGGTTTGGCACTGGGGAGCAGGGCCACAGGAAGACAGATCCACCACATCACCTGGACTGTGTCTGTGGTGCTAACCCGGTGGGGAGTAGAGCCATCTGCTTCAGGCTTCTTCACACCCAGCCCCGGGCCGACCATCACAGCATCTGTTTTTGGGGCTGATGGCTGCAGGAGAAACAGAGCGAGTCAGGCCCTGGGGCACAATGCCAGCAGCTCTGAGTGCCCTGCCCATGGCAGGGGGTTTGAACAACATGATCTCTAAGGTCCCTTCCAACCCAAACCATTCTGATTCTATGCTCCTTGTACACCAGGCCCCCTAGCAGAGCAACCCTGTCATGCACATCTGATGTCCTGCAAGTGTCCCACTGAGCCCTACCCTGCAAAGAGCAGGGGCCAGGCTGCCGCCCTGGGCAGACAGCCACCACCCACAGTGCCCTGTGACCCACACACCCCAAATGAGACCCGATGCCCTCTGTCTGGGGTTTTCTGGGGTTTTTTGGATAGATCTATAGAGACACCATGGGTTAGTTCAAACTGGTCTTCAAAAGGTAGGTGAGACCCATCAAATCTGTTTCACCCATGTCCTGCAGCCAGTTTATGATCTGCACCAGCTCTGGGAGGCTCTGGTTACACCTGGGGTGTCAGAGCCTCAGGGGAACAGAGACAGGCTTCCAGCACTTCCCCACTACAGGAAACCGGCACTACCAAGGGCACAGGTGATGCTTAGCCAGTGCTCAGCATTCCCAAGCCAGCAGCCCCCTGCCCACACTGGCCGTGGGGCACGTGGAGCAGATCTCCCATGACTATGGCATCAGATGCTCTGCACAAGGTTTTTGGGCTGTCTCAGAGAAAGCTCCCTTTAATTCTGCAGCTTTTTCCTGGTTCCAGCACCCTGGCAGCTCTGGGCAGGGCTAGGGACATACCTGCCAGGGCTGGAGTCTGCCCCAGGCTGACCAGGCAGGAAGTGGCCCTGGCCCAGCACAGAGCTAAGGCCACATTTCACTGCGCTGCAGCTGGCTCTACCATCCTCTCCCTGTGTGTACACTCATCTGTCACATGCATGCACATGCATTTTTGTTAGCCCTGTTATAATCCCTCCCAGCACAGGAGTGACTCTCCAGGAGCTCTGGTGTGACTCCCATGAGGCACTTGGTAAATCCCTCCCAGCCTCAGCATGACCAGAGAGGTTAGTGGGCAGCACATGGCTCTTCACTACACAAACTGGTCACTGAATTCATGCAAGACACGAGGCCAGTGCCAATGGTTAGTGCCACGTGCCCTTCCCATGGCATGACATGCTGTCGTGGGGCAAGGGACAGGGCAGCCAAACACAGGGGACCAAGAGGTGACAGTGACTTCTCCTGGCTAGCAGATGCAGGAAGCACGCAACAGAGCCATGCACCACAGACACAGCATGCACTGGGGAAATACACCGGGCCAGGAACTGGAGGGGTTTGGAAGCCAGCATGCTCCTCCAAACCAGTTGGAAGTGCACTCCAGGGAGGCAGTGCCAGGCACCGGCACAAGGAACACGGAGGCACGATGACACTGGGACCGTCCTGGTGAATGGTGTTCCTGGGTACCTCTAGATGGGAGACATCTGGGCTAGGCTGGGAGACCTTCTCCCTGCCTTTGACATCCTCTTCCAGTCCAGGAACTACTTTGTCAGTGTGCTGGAAGGAAACCAGGCCTTCGTCTTCCATTTCGCTCTTGTCCTTGTCCAGCTCGGGCAGGCTTCGTGAGATGTCCTCAAAGGCTGTGCCATGGAAGTCACTGATCACAGTGAAGTCCACCTCTGCTTCCAGGCTGGAGGTTGAGCTGACCGTGATGCTGGAGCACTTGCGCTCAATGGCCAGGTGGTTGTCCTTCAGGAAGACTGAGTCCTTCTCCTGGTCAGGCTCCTCGTCGCCGGTGTCGCTCTCGGGGGCCCTGTGCCGAGGTGGTTTAGGTCTCTCCTCGGTGCCCTCCCTCACACCCGCTCTCTGAATGAGACACAATGTCGGAGAGAGACGGAGCCCATGAACACCACGTGGCAGCGCTGGCAGTGCTGGCAGGGGCAGGGGAGTAGGAGGAGGAGGAGGAAGGCTGCAGCAAACATCACAGAGTAGAGTCAAACACAACTCAAGCATGGAGACCGAAACCTTTCTGACAGCGGCGGCTTTGCAGCGGGGTGGGGACAGAAGGCTACTCAATTTGATGGTGCCAAAAATCTATTGCTAATTAATCATCTCAAAAAGGGTCAGTCACACAAGAAAGCTCGGCCAGCTTGGAGGCACATCAGTGCACCAGTGGAAGCAGATGGATGCAAAACAATGGGTCTGTTAGGAGACATTCAGAAGGAGCTCAGATGCTGGGGCTATTGTATATCGGTGACTCAAAAAAACAAACGAGGGAAAGAAAGAGAGAAGAGTTTGAAAGAAAAGGGCCCATCAGCCAGGCACAGTGAGGGAGAAGGAAAGTAGCGTGCTAATTCCACTGAACATCCACTTGGCCCTGCAGAGCATCACCCCAGGGTGAGTCTTCCCCACTGATACCACCTCCCCCTCCAAAGGCCTCAGAGGAGTCTCAGGGGTGACCTGACTAAGTGTCTGGTCAGTGTAATTGACAGCATGGTCAGAGCCAAGGGATGTCCTCCCTCCATCAGCTCTGCTCTAGACATAGACATACCTCTCAACTCCACCATCAGAGGGTATGTATCCCCTCGCCACGCTTTGCCATAAAGCCATGGGAAATCTAGACCCAGCTAGACTCAGTTCTCCCTTAGGAACACCTCTAAGCCCACTAATCCCAGTGGAAACCCACCTCCTGACCTTGGTCCCAAGTGTTTGTAGCCAGCGCCATCTCCCCTATGGGCCAGGCTGTGCTGGCACACCCTTCCCTCAGCAGAGCTGGGAGGTTGAGAGGTATGAGAAACAGGGTGTCCAAGAGCCCCAGGAGGAACACGCAGACACATTCGTGTGTGTGTGTGTCTGTATCAATACACACAGAACAGCCCTGCAATAGGAGCGGAGCTGGCAGCACAGCCCTCGGCTGCACTCATACTGCAGAGAGAAGCACTTAGTAAAACAGCACTGAGACCTGGGAGACCATTGGAACAGCATTCTTTAAATTCTCTTCTTTCAGGATGGATTTTACTGATGGGTCAGATAAATCCTTTTCTCTCCCATTTAGTTCCTGAAATTTGCTCTGGATTAGAGAAAAGGGTTAGTTGTAAGGAAATGAACTCTGCAGGAGCTGATCTAGCACCCACAAGAACAAGGAAAGCTACTTCATCACCCAGCCACCGGCTTGCTGAAGACAGGGAAGGGTGGGGAGGCTGGTGAGCCAAGCAAGAAGGGGTATCAACGTAGGAAATGCAAGGGTGAAGCTGAAAGCATGGACACGCTGCTGCCGAGGGGTGCGTGCCCGTGACAGTCGCAGCTCCTTCAGCCACCCACCGTCGCCCTTTTCGGCTCCTGGACATGAAGCTTGGCTGCCTGCTCTTGGGTTTAGCGAGCGGCATTCTCCAGGGAGCCAAAATGTTCAGGGATCGCAAAACAAAAGCTGATGAACCAACCGGGCAGCAGGTCTGCATGCAGCCAGTAAGCCTGACCACACACACAGACAGAAAGGACAGGGATGCAAAGCGCCTGCTGTCAGTCAATGGATGTGTGAGGAGCCACTGGACATAGTCAGAGAGCCACAAAACATGCGCATGAATGTCCCGTTCGGACAGTTCATTGGAGTTACCATGGCCTCAGCCAGGGTGAGCTCGCAGCCAGAGTCGGGGGAGGCCAGATCAGCATTGTCTTCTTTGTGCTCCAGATCAACAGAGAGATCTTCCTTCGGGGAGTGAGGCTGGGAGATGTCTCCTGAACCAGCCCCTTGCCCAAGGGCCAAGGAGCTCACACTGGACACAGGTTCCACTGCTGGTGGTGAGGCGAGGCAGGTGCTCAAAGGCATGTCCTGTGCCAGACCTGTCTTCCCTTTCGCTTTCGCTGATGTCCCAGCTTCAGGCACCCGCTCTTGTCCCTCCTGGGCCTCCCTTCGCTCCACTTCATTTTGCTCGAACATCTTTATCTTAGAGGCCACAGAGGTTTTCCCGTAGCTCTTGCTGTCCTCCCAGCTTCCTGGGGCCACGTTGACATCTCTGTGCCCCTGGGACACAGCACCTGCCTGCCCAGCCACGCACACCAGCGACTCAGGCTCTGTTTGATGTGTCCCACCACTCACTTGCAGCTCTTCTCCACCTTCATCCACCCAGGCAGAGAGCCGGAACGTCTCACTTCCTTGGCACAATCCTAATACAGGGGACTGGAAGTGTGAGACGTCAGCAGCTTCTTTGGGAAGAGAGTCATTCTGCAGTGGTTGCCCTGGAGCTAGGTCACTGGCCCTGGTGGTTTCTCCTACTGTTGGGCTCCTGCCCTGCAGATCTTGTCCCACATTAAACTCTGAGTCCCAGTGTGGCTCCTGTGCTTTGGGATCAGCAATGTGGAGCAGCTCCCCAGCCATGGAACCCTCTTGGGGCAGGTCTCTCATGATGGCCTCTGTCTGTTTTTCTGGTTCTTCTGCTTGGGGTGGTAGCTCTTTCACACCAGGGCTTTTATCTTGGGGCAGTTCTTCCATCTCACAGCCTTCATCTCCAGTCAGCTTCCCTGATGTGGGCCCCAAACCTTGGAAGAACTCTTTTATCATGGGTTTCTCCTCCTGCAGTGGCACTTTGGGGGCAGGGACTTTGCTCTGTGCTGTGGCAGGGTCCATGTCCTGAGCCACCTCCCTGGTGGCTGTGTCTCTGACCTGGACTGACTCTGCTGCAATATCTGTGTTTTGGGGTGGTTCTGCTGCACCAGGACTTGTTCCTTGTTGTGGTTTCCATGAGGTAAATCCTGTATCTTGGTGTTGTTCTGCAGATTCAGGATCAGTTTCCCTGGGTAGTGCCACCTCCACGGAGGGGCCCATACCCTTGGGCATGCCCACCCCTCTCACGGGGCTGGTGTTCTGGGACAGCTCTGTGCCCTTGGGCTTGGTGCCTGGAGCTGGATCCACAGGGACAGGGCTGGATTGCTGGGGAATGGGTGGAGGGGCAGGAGCACTGGGTTTATTTCCCTCCAACCCCACAGTGTGAGCATGGCCTGGCCAAGACACAGCTGAGAGAGGAGACTTGGTCTCTATCTCTTCCATCTGAAGAACCACTCTGGCACTTTCCTCCTTGTCACCATCTGCTCCCAAGAGCTCCTCCCCTGCTGTGCACTGTGCTGGGCTCCCTCTGCGCTCCTCAGCCCCGTGGCCATCCCCTGCCAGGCCACATGGCTTTAGGCCTCTCACTGGGCTCTGCAGCTCTGTCTCCTCTGGTTCCACCTCCTGGGAACACAGCAGGGCTTCACTTCCTGCAGGTGCTCCATAGCTGGGCATCCCAGCAGATGCTTTCTCTGGCTGCAGGGACAACTCCTTCTCCCACCCTGAGAGGGTACGTCCCACCAGGCTGGTCCCGTCACAGCCCATCCTGGGCTGCTCTGGTGCTCCGGTAGGTTTTCCAGACACTGCCCTGTGTTGGTGACTTGCTGAAGAAGGGGGTTGGAACCCTTCTGCTGCAGGTGTTGCGTGCCCAGATCCCTCCCTGGACGTGTTCACTGTGGCTTCTGATATTTCCTCCAAGCCAAGCCACTCACTAGTGTCCAAGGTAAGTTGTGTTTTACTGTCCTTCTCCTCTCCCTCTGGATCTCCTAAGTAGATGATCCTCTGGGTCGCAGAAGTCTCTGAGCTGTCATCTCCAGCCTTCACTTTGGTTTTCAGGAGCTCTGTGGCTGTGCCTGGCACTCTGGCCTCCTGTTTCCTGGAGGCTGCAGAAGCATGCTCACTGGAGAGCACCTTGCCTTCTCCCTTGGGATGCTCTGGCCCTAAAATCTTGGCCCTTTGTCTCTCTTCAGGCTGTTGACAGGGCTTGGGCAGCCCCGGCTCACCACTGGCTGCTCCTTCACCCTGGGGCTCCTTCTCTGTGCTGTCAGTGGGCAGATGTGCTGTCTCTGGGCTGTCTCTGCTTTCCTTCTCATAGATCTCATCCTCCCAGACAGACTCAAAATCCTCGGGACTGGCAATCATTTTGGCTCTCTTCCGTGTGTCCAGGGCTGCAGCTGAGGGCTCTTCCTGGCCTGTCACTTCCTTGGCTTTCCCTACTGCCACCTCCACCTTCAACAGGCTCACACTTGTGTTCACCTCCGAGGTACCTGCACGTGATTCTTCCTTCTTGACTCCCAGAACTTTCCTCAGAGCTACTGCTTCCAGCCTAGGGGCTTCTCTCTCTATAAATACCCAATGCTCTGAGCCCTGCATTGCAATTGGAGCAAGAAGAGTTAAATGCATCAGACACACCGCACCCAACTGCTGCTGGCACAAGTAGCACGGCTGGTCTGCCTCACACAGCAATGGCTACGTCATTATTATTATAATTCTAATTAGTAGTATTAGTAGTAGTGTTCTCAATGCTATAGTTGAAACAGGGTCTATACAAAGATCCTGGCAACTTGCTGATGGAGATAGGGACTGAAAATAAGGGGCTGATGCCATGATAGGGAATAAGCCACTGTCTCCAGCTGGCACCCCCTGTTTTCAGCTGGCTATAGCAATTCCCAGGGGTGAGATTTCATTGGAAGCAAGGGTCTGTGTTTTGGGTAGCTTCACTCTCAGCTTCATCCACGTGCCCTAAGAATATGTCAGACTGCCAACAGCATGAGCAAGGAAAGAAACCACCTTGAGCCATCAGAAAGGCCCTTTCCCCTTCCTACCAGATGCTGCAGCTCAGATTCCCCCCAAAGTCCATCCCTCCTTTCCAGCTCATCAGGGACATCTCCAGAAGCCATAACTGAGCAGAGGTTTCCAGCAATGCTGAAACCAAGCAGTTCAGAAAATGTAACCTGTAAAAGGTTACCTCTCAAGTGTAAAAGACCACGGGTTTGGCAGCTGAGACAGGTATGGGGGCTGCAGCAAGGACCAAGCAAAGGCTGTGAAGCGTCCTGCAGCATGGACACAGCAGGAATGTGGCACACCACACCATGTATCTGTGAGGTTGGTGGGGGGATACCAGGTCACTGCTGCTATGGACACCTAGTACATCCCATGTTTGTCCTGCAGGTCAGCAGAAGGCTTCACGAGTGCCAAGAACGAAGCACTGTTAAAATCCAGCCACTTCTGGAACAGCCAGTAGAACATAAACCACAGGAATATAGTGGCAGGAGAACGTGTGCACCATGAGGCAGCCCAGCGGCCTCCGCAGCTGCCCCAGGGAGCACACATGGGGGCAATGCTGGGGGCTCATCGTGGGGCTGGCACTGCCCACGGCACAGCCTGCCCGGGCAGAGCTGCCTGCAGCAGAGGCAAGGATGGCCCTTGGGGGCACCAGGATGCGCTCCAGTCCCAGTGAGGGGGCTGGCTGCCCACTCCCTGCTAAAATCAGGAACAATAATCCATGGAAATGTGAGCCATGACCCATTCAGGAAGAATGTTTGGAGCAGTTGCACCCAAAATGGAAACCTAGTGACTTATACTGGATAATGGGAAACACACGGGCAGAGGGGAGCAGAGCCAGAGGGAAGGTAAGAGAAGATAACATCAGAAGAGAAAGAAAGGAAAACCAGATACTAGTGGTAGGGCTTCCACAAAGAAATAGGTGAAAGTCTCTGGCAGAAAAATGCCATTCCCAGCTCCTGCCTTCTTTACCAGCTGCCAAAGGAAGCACAGATCCCTCAGCACAGTGCCCCAGGTCTTGCCCTGCAGCACCCTGCAACAGCCCCTCTGTCTGTCCCCATGCCCTGGGCTTTGCCAAGAGCCTGGCAGCCCCTGAAAATCCCCCTGAGTGCCTGCAGAGAAGCACACAGGGGGCTGTGCTGGGGTACAGCCTGCTAGTCCCCAAGTAAACACCCAGCCCTCTGAGGGTGCGGAGGTGCTGGCTCCTTGCAGTGCCAGGACAAGTATGGGGTTGGCCCTGTGCACTGCCAGCTGTGCTCCTCGCAGGGCAGGAAGGGCACCCTCCTCCACCGGTGGCAGATGGATCCTTGCCAGGGACTCTGCCATGGCAACTGCACCCTGCCATGGCCAGGCCACCCTGCTGAGCAGCCAGGTCTGAAGCAGACCCATCCCTCCCACCTCCCCACAGCATCGCTCGCATGAGCCTCTCCCATATTCCATCACGGTGCGCTCTCAAGCACCATCTGCTCTCCAGGTCCCTTCCTCCAGACCTGCCTCCAATGCAGATTTTGTTTCTTCTTAGTCTGTGGAAATCACAATAGAGCACGTTGGTGCCTGTCACGAGCACCAGGCTGCACCTTGGATGTTCACAGCCAGGTCTGACCTGTAACGGCAGCATCATCCCTAACCGGGCAGCTTGCTGGGCTGCTGGGATGCCCAGGCTGGTCTCTGGCACTCCCTCAGCACATTCTTCCATTCAGCAGCGATGCTCATGGGCAACTCAGCTAGGAGACTGCTCACTTTCCTGAGGGTGCAGCAGTTTCTCTCCTGCTCCTGCCCTGTGGTCCCACTGCTGAACCTTCTCTCAGCCAGGACAAGGATGGACAGGTTGTGGGCATACGTACAAATTTCTTCAGCAAAGCCCTCTCACACCTCTTCTCCAGCTGCAAACCAGTCTTTTGGAGGAGACCTTCCCTGGGCAAAGATGAATTTCTTTGGGCTGCTTCTCTGAGTTAAGGCCTGAGATAGATAGATCAAAAACTCTGCTGAAGCCTGGAACAGTGTCTTCATCCATGACAGCACCTCTTCACCAGTAAGGAATACCCCAAAGCTTCAGATTTATTTCTAAACCAGCTTCCTTCTCCTCAGACTCTTGGGTGAGCCCAGTCCAAGGGAACAGTCAGGTACTCTGTGGTGTGCGGGAGTAGTTGACTGAACTCTGCTCTGGAGGGCTCAATGCCAGCTCTGGCCACAGCTCTGGTTCCACAGCTTGTGGCAGCCCTTGTGTCTCCAGAGCCTGAGGACTATTAGAGCAAATATCTGGATACTTGGGCATGTCCTCCAACAAAGCAGAGAACTTGTGGAGCTTTGGAGGTCCATGGGCTGGCAAGACAGAGTATGTGCCAAGGCAGAGCTGAGGCTCAGAAGTGATGATACTGGGAAGGGTCTGTCCATAGACCAACCTTGACTTCCCAAGCGATAATTTACTTTCACACTTCCCTGCCCTCTCTCCCCTCAAATCATCTGCTCTAGGAACAGGAAGGCCATTCCCACTGTGGCCTATGCATCACAGGAGAGTAAGCTGATAGAGTGGGAAGAGGTGATATCAGGGAGCAGAGACAGCCTTTGCCCCTGCCAATGAGGGCCACAACCTGGGAGAGCCCAGGGCATGCAGGAGGCTTCTCCCTTCAGATCCTTCAATGTCTCTTCTGTTCTTTGCTCTCAGAAGTCTCAGCTCACCCAAGAGGAAAGCACAAGCCTTGTGGCAAGAATGAGGGAATCTGAGATGTTGAGACAACACACTGGGCTGCTTTTACCACTTGAAGCTGGAGAGGCTCCTGGCACCTCACAGCACAACATTCCAGTCCTGCAGCAGCAGTGGGGATCGAGGGATGAAGGGAAGAGTCAACACGTATGGCTAGGGGTGATAGACCGCTTAACCTCAGTGGGCCTGAAGCCCATGGGAACTGAGGGACTTTCTGGCTGTCATGAGAGATCCAAGCTCTGCAGATGTGCTGTCCTCATGCCATCACCCTCTTGGGGCCATGAACTCCTCATGGAGATCACCGGTCAGGGGAGGACAAGTTCCCACATATCAACTGCTGAGTCTCAGTCACTGACGCCTGGAGAGAAATCACCGGTGAGGCCACCATGGCACTTGTAGATGGATACCTGGCACCCCAAGGGCTTCCGGGGAGCAGAGGACAAGACTCTGAATCCAGAGATGTGTGTGCACCTCACTGCTGCTGTTTCTGTCCTCCAGCTCTGAAATACTGGCACACAGAGAGTGCCAGCAATGAACAGGAGACACTGCTGCAGAGCCCTTACTGAAGCCCAAGGCTGTGCCCAAGCCTCCCTCACACCCATCTTGTCTCCTGGGGACTGCTCCAGTCAGCCCAGGTTCAGGCTCTTGCCCACGCTGGCAATTTCTGCACAGACAACGGGCGATGACAGGGAGCAAGAGTGCACTCAGCCTTGCCCCTGCCCCATCTGCCCCCTCTCCCACACTGACTCTGCCCCTCCCTGGGCCGCTCAGGTCGGACGTGCTCCCCAGCACCACTGGGCCAACCCTTGGGGCCTGCAGCCAATACACCAGAACCAAGGCTCAAACACCAGCTTGCTTCTGCTCAGTGAAGGTACCACTCTTGGTCTCTGAAGGTCCAGGAAAACACCCCTTCATCTGAGATAAACTGGCACACAAGCAATGCCAAGAGCCCACGCTCCTCACCCATGGGCACCACGTGAGGACATGGATGGCAGTATGACCCTGCTGTGCACAGGGATGAGTCCAACACACCTGATGCCTCCAAAGATGCCCTTCTTCAGGCTTCCTGGGCCCAGGGAACTCTGACTGCAGCCAAAGTGGAAGGAAAGCACAAGGGATTGCTAAGAACAGCTTGAGGCTGCCTGCCTGGACCTGGAGCAGCCACCAACAGAGTGCCTGTGTCATTGGGTCACCCTTGCCTTGGGACCCTCAACAGTGGGCTCCAGCATGGCCCCACACCCAGCAGGGCTGCACTGGGAGGTCTTTCCAGGGCCCCATCTCATATCCCAGCCAGAACAGTCAGGGGAGCAGGTTTCACCAACAGCCCTGTCCTGTGAGGGGTCCTGCCTGTCACCAGAGAGGGGACCCACCCTGGGGGGCAGCAAACAGCTGCTCTGCTAAGAGGGCACGAGCCCCCTTGGCAGGCTGGGGACTCCCACAGTGACAGGGGCAGAATGTGAAAGCAAGAAGTGGGGGGAGAGAGGATAGTGACAACCTCAGGAGAGGAGACAAGGCTTTTCTGCGTGAAAGACTCCATGCTTAGGGAAGGTCCATGCTCTGATGCAAAATCGTCTAGGGTGTCCTCTTCCATCGTCTGTGCCAGCACGGAAACCCCAGCACCCATGGGGAGAGAGAGAGACAGAGAGAGACAGAGACAAAGAAAGAGAGAGAAAGAGAGAATTTGAGAAGGAATGAAGGAACAAAGGGTGGGTAGGTGGGTGGATGGATGGGTAGATGCATGGACAGATAGACAGACAGAGGTCACAGCTGTGCCAGCTTTAGATGCTCCATTCACATCTCTGCACTTGATATATTTGACAGTAAAAGAGATGTGGGGTGAAGTCCCTCTTCCTCTTCACAGTCGAGCATTTTGATGAGGGGGGGCACAAGCCCACCCTGCAGCCCTGGGTCTCCGGTCAGTGCTGGGCACCAGCAGGCACACAGGCATGTCCCAAATCCCCTGCAGAGAGACCCCAGCCCAGCCACCCACAGTGCCCCAAGCCCTCCCCGCAGCCCAGCCCCATGGCAAGGCTGTTTCGGGGTGAGGGGCAGCCAGGGCAGAGCAGCCTCTCTATGTGGCACCCACCCTGCCCAGAGCCATGCCACTGCTGTGGGCACAGAGATGCTCCTGGAGGGGAGAGCAAGGAGGAAGGGTCCCTGGCAGGGAGAGAGCATCCAGAGTGGCAGTGGGGACACTCTTGGCACACACTGCCTGCACCAAGCCCAGCAGGACCCCAGGCCACAGAGCACTCAACTGTGCCACATCCACATCACTCATGCAGCACTGGGGGCTTTGTCCTGGCACCCCAACTCCAGCACCCTCCTATCACTCCCACGGTCCCAGTGCAAAGCCAGCAGGCAGAACACCCAAAGGGGAAGATGTGAATGTAGAATGCCAGCACGGCACCACTCACCCTCCACCTCCTCGCACCACCCAGGTCCTGCTGCTGAGAGCACAACAGGGCACCTCTGTGCAGGTGCCTGGTCCCACTCTGCTCGAGACACCCTCAGGCAGAAGCTGCACCAGCACTGCCCTGCAGGCTGCTGGTGTGAGGGGTGAGGAAAACCCCATCTCATGGGCCAATAGAGCCACAGGTACTCCCAAAACACCCCCAGAGGAAGAGCTGTTCGGTCCCCTGCAATGCCCAGGCACACAGGGAGATTCCCGCCAGCAGTGTAAAAATGGTTAGTGTGATGCAAAACTTAGAGACACCCCTCCCTGCACCCTGTGTCCCCAGCACGGCACTCCCACCGTCCCTCCTCGGGGCAGCACAGGAGCAGAGCCCCAGAGCTGAGGGACACCTCCCCACTGGATCCTGATCCCCTCTGTAAGAGAAGCAGCAGAACAAACCTCACTGGCCTTTTCAGGTGTTCCCTTTGGCGTTTCATCCTCATGCTTGGGTGAGGAAGAGGCTGGTGAGGAAGGCAGCCTCCTGTCCCGGTCCCTGTGAACCAGTTTGCTATTGGGCTCCTTCAGGGTCCGCTTCAGCTCATTAATGCTGGCCTGATGCTTCAGCAAAACATCCTCTGGCTTGTCTAAAAACTTGGGAAGGAGAGAGGAAAGGAGCAGTGATTAAAGCAGCAGCCAAGGCCAAAGGGATGAGCAGGGGCACTGGGCTAGAATTTAGTCTCAGTAGCCAAATGAGGAGCGTGTTGGAGACCCCTGGTCTGCGGGTCTCACTGCAGGGGGAGCAGCTCTTTCACTGCAGGAAGCAGCAGAAAGGCAGCATAGAGCCAAATACACATGGCAGGGGAAGGGCATGGCATGTCCTGGCAGCATCTTCAGGACTCCACGTCCTCCTGGCTGAGGACAAACTAAGCCTCCTGGAGAGGAGAGTGGGCTCTCCCTTGGGATCAGCAAGGGATGGGGCCCCGTTGGAAACACCAGCAGTCTCCTCTGCTCCTCTCTGGCACCAGGCTCAAAGGGAGCCCCAGGCTCTGTCCCAGCAGGGCAGGTGACCAACATTTCCAGCAGAGCTGCTCTGAAATGGGCTCTGCCAAAGGGCTGGAGGTCAAGGCCTGGGCAGGGATGTCCAGCATGGATCCAAGCCTGGATCCCCATGGACCAGCCTGGGGTGGGGTGGGTCTGACCTGCTGTGGAGAGAGGACAGCTCAGACTGTTCAAGTGCAAGGTGGGGTTCAGGTGTTAGAGCAGGACATAGCGAGGGCCCAGGCGCCAGGGTGGCCCCCTCGTCCTGCCACAGAGGTGGGCAAACCAGCTCCGAGCAGGAACCCTGGTTTCTGCTTCCAACTCAAATTCAAACCTCTTCTGAGGTTTGAAAGGAGGCACCTAAATACCTCCCTAGTACCTCGTCAGCAACAGCCCAGAGACCCATGAGAGTCTCAGGAAAAAGTCCACCAAATTTTCCAGATCCCAAAGGCTCAGCACAACTCAGGAAAACTCCCGACCTGGGCCCACATGTGTGAGCCATGGAGAGCTCAAGTGTGCCCACCTCTGGGCTCAGGGTGTGCCGGGCCGGGGCGCAGCACATGCACATGCAGTGGGGAAGCAATGAGGCGGGTGGGGGGCTGGGACCAGTGCCCACTGCCCACTGCCCTGGCGGGGTCTGCCCCTGTGGTGCTGAGCAGGATGGTGAGGCTGTGTGGTGCCAGCGTGGACAACCACATCATGTAGCCATGCTTGCTCCCATCAACAGCTGCAGCGAGGATCTACATCCCACTGTAACTGGAGGGGAAACTCCCAGGGAGCAACTGTGGATTTTAGGCCAGGATGAATCATTCCTGATGGGGCCACCGGGGACATGGCAGTTTGTACAGAGAGGGCTCAGCTTCCCTGTTCTCTGCTCAGCCCATTCTCAGGGTGGACAGACACTGGGTGGGTGCCAGTGCTGGCCCCTTGGGGCAGCTCAGAGCCCCTTTGCCCCATGAGGGTGGGATGGCAGCTGCAGCGCTGTGGGGAGCCCCAGCCTGGCTCTCATGGGGAGTGGGGGGCTGCAGGAGAGTGGAGCCACTAGGCAGGGCGGTGATGAGTCAGTTTGGGTCAGGCAAGAGCAGAGCATGGGTCAGGGTGGCAGCGGGAGCGATGGGACCAGCTGCACAGGAGACACAAGGCAAGGATATGGCAGGGTCAGTAACACAAACAGAAGCCAGGTCACCCCAATGGGTCAAGGGTTTTCCTGCCCCTGGGAGGGCTCACAGGTAGGATCAGGACCACCTTACTTAGTGGGATAGAAGATGCCACGTGCGCTGGGCTGATCCCCAGCTGTCTGTTCATTGGGCTCCTCCAGCACCCAACCCCCTGCCTGACGCATCTTGTATTCCAGTAAATAGGGTGACACATGGAGTTGTTTTGGGAAGGATGGACAATATGATGCACCAATGAGGACTAAGATACTCCAGACAGAGAATACCTCCTGCTTGTGCCTGGGGGTTGTTTCGTGCTCCGGCTGGCAGCAAAGAGAGGGTTAAAAGTAACCAGCAGGTTACGAAGGAATTTGTCACAAACATCACAGTTAAGTTGATGGGCTGGTAGGGACACCCTCTCCCCTCGAAGTGGGGCTGAAATGGGCTGGGACAGCCCAAGGACCAGGGCAGGCAGTGGGTGGGCTGTGCACGGGCAGTGGGGGGAATGAGCGGGCACCCATGTTCCTGGCCTGTCCCCATCCCCATCCCTGTCCCAAACCGGGACTGTTCCCAGATCTGGCTCTGCCTGGGGAGGAGCCTTTAGATCACCTGGAGGGCTCTGGGGACTCAGTTAAACCAAACCCCTCTGACCGCCTCACTTCCACGAGTGGGGCCAAGAGCCATATCCCAGGGGTCCCACCAGCCTGGGGCTCAGCTGACACAGGCAGGGCTGCAGGGTACTGCGCACCGAGGTGACCCTTCCTGCCTGCAGCCCAGCCCTGCTGCCTGTGCTTGGTCCCCTGTCTGCCTACCCCTCCACCCCCACCCTCCTCTGCCCACCTCGGCTGTACCTTCAGCTCCTTGATTTTCGTCGGGGTGGTCACCTCCTCATCCTCCATTTCAGACTGCCTCCTGCTGCCAAACTCACCGTCCTCCTCCTGCTTCTCACCCTCCGCCCCAGCATCATGGTTCTCGCTGACGGAGGCTGGACGTGAGAACTCTGCCCGTGGGGGAGAGCCCGGGTCACTGCAGCCCTGCCACCCCCATTCCTCCCCCATTCCCTCACCCCCTGCCCCTACCCTGCTAGCTCTTACCTGGGGATCAAGGAGCCCCAGACGCCCTGCAGCAGGGACAGATGGTCCCAGGTGTCCTAAGGCACAGGGAGCCGGGGGGAAGGTGTCCCCAGGCTGCCCAACCCCAACCCTGCCATATCCCCCTGCTCACACACAATCTGAGCAACCACTTGGGGTGGGGACAGACCCTCTGCCATGGGGATGCAACTGGGGACAGCCCCTAGAAGGAAGCCCAATGCTGCTGTGACCCTGCTCAACTCAATGAGGCAAAGTAGAACCGAGCCGAGCAGCACCCCACTGCTCCCGCCAGCGGACCAATCTCCCTCCCCCTCCCCAATTTGGGGCATACCTCCATCAAGGCTGCGAGACATGGTGTACCGTTTGCTGGAGGAGCGCTCGAAGAACGGAGCTGGGCGGTCGATGAGGGCACTGGCCTGTCGCGTCTGTGCCTGCGTCCGCCCACTGTACCGAAACTTGGAGCCCATCACCAGGAAGCCCTTGGGGGGTGGCTCTGGGGACACCAGCCTAGGGGTCAGAGGGGAAGAGGGGCATCAGCAAACCCCGGTCAGGCCCCCCGGCACTGTGCCCCACATGTACCCACGGCAACAGAAGCAGAAGCATGCCTGCCTCCCAGAAGGGAAGCCTGGAGAAGGTGTCCTCACCTGAAGAAGGTGTGATGCTCTATGCAGACCTTCCAGAGCCGCTTGGCTGAGCGGTGGTTGGGCAGCTTGAAGCCAATGGTGCTCTCAAACTGTTCATACTTGGGAGAGACGGATATAGGCTGTTACAGGCAGATCCTGCCCTAGGGGACATGATGGGATAGGACCTTGCCAAAGCCCTCAGGCTCCCCTGGCAGGAGCCATGACCATACAAAAAAACCCCAAAAGTCTTCTTCAAAGCTGTGCTGGGAAGGTCCATGCCACCAGCATGGTGATGGGATCACTGCCCACGCCTCTGGCCTAAGCACTTCCCTCAGCTGTAAATGGCTTTTCAGTGCAAGATGAATTCCTCCAAGAAACAAAAGCTTTTACAGCTGTTTTGGTGTGAGGGTATCACTCTCCCTTTCAGATGTGCTGCCGTTCCAGCCTGCTGGAAGACCTGGGTGGAAATGCATTCTCCTACCAGTGCACATAGAAGAGCAAAAATAAAGTCTGAAAATGAATGAAAAAATCTCCTGATGTTTTTTTTTGTGAAGACACGCCAAAAATGGCCCTCAACTTCCCTTCCTGGGCAAACTCCCCACACCAGCAGGGTCATGGTGTATGTCAGGTAGGGATGGGAACCTGGGGTCCCTCAGCTGCTGAAGTCATGAGAGCATAGACAAGAAAATCCACACCACAGGCGATGTGCTCTCTTGGACAGTGTGGTCATTCATGTGGGACCCTTGGGACAGAGGCTGGAGCCAGGTGAGGACATCCCCACCATCAGCCCCAGTGCCCACCATCAGCCCCAGTCCCACAGGACAAGCACTCTGCTGTGCCCCAGGGCTGCATGGGCACCTGGCACCCACCTCACCCGGGCGGATCTTGATGTAGAAGTTGCTCCTTTTGTAGGAAATTTTAAGGATCTTGGGCCAGGCGAAGCGGTTGATGCGCAGCCGGTCCCTGTAGATGAGGAGGCCGTTGGCGCAGACGCCCAGCATGATGTCAATGCCCTCTGAGTCCTGGAGGAGGGAAGGGGACAGGAGGGAACAGTTCAGTTAGCGAAGTAAGAACCAGCCTGGCCAATAGTGCCGTGCTCCCTCCTGCTAGGAGCTACGGGGGCCCTGAACACCAGGCTGGTTGATCTCTGGAGCTCCTCTGGTCCAACACGGGGACACTCAGAGCCACCTAGAGCCATGCCAGGAGCATGTCCTCACTGAGCCTTCACTCTAGGAGGAAGGGGTGGGCAAGAGGGGTGTGCAGGAGCAGGGTGGGATGGTGCTGACCATGGCTCTGGGAGCCCCATGGCCCCAATACCTTGGCGTGGTGCAGGTCCACCCCGTACATGGAGAGCTTCTTGGCATTCTCCAGGAAGTGGACCTCTGCTTCCCCAGGGGTCATTCCGCTGCAGGGAAACAGAGAGGGGGAGACGTAGGCAGGTGCCCCACCAGGTGAGGGCCATCTCTCCAGTGCCATCCCCTCTTGGAGCTCACCGGTAAGTCTTGTGCAGCTCCATGATGCGTTCCTCCAGCTCCCGTGTCTGGTTGGGGGCGAAGCGGAGCTCACTGACATAGTTGCCCACGTGCTCTTCGGTGTCGTGGTCGCCCAGCTCGGCCTGGACAGCGTAAGAGCCCAGCAGGGCATGGGTGACGAAGGAGCAGGGCAGGCGCCCCGTGATGATGTCTGCACGGAGCTGCAGGCACAGGTAGTATCTGCAGGAGGGGGGAGAGGGTGAGAGTAGGGTGAGGGCATGTGCTTCCTGAGCAGGCTGGGGCTACCTGGGAGGGAGACGTGTGCCCCTCAATGCAGGCCGGGGCTCCCCAGGAAGGAGGTGTGTGGTCCCCACCTTGTGATGTCCTCTGTGAGCTGGGCAGGGTCTGGAGGGTAGAACTTCACAGTGAAGGCAAAGTTCCAGGGCCCACCTAGAGAGGGGAGAGGGCAGTCAGGACAGCACCTGTAGGGCTGCACACAGGGTGTAGAAGCATCCATGCATTTCCTAAGCCTGCACAAGGCAGGGACAGAGGGCTGCAGAAGCTGCTTGGAGCACAGCCCTCGGGATACCAGCATGACCTGGTTAGTCCTTCCCAAACGGCTGGGGAGAGAAAAGCATCACAGCTTCAGAAGCCATCAGCTCCTGATCATTATCACAGCATCACTGTCACAGCAAAAGCCTCCTTTGTCCCAGAAAATGACACCTTGGACTATAGGTGTCATTTCTGCCATCCCAGCAATGCAACATCATGGGCAAAGGTCCCAGGACCTGTCCCAGCAAGGACCCCCACTTTTTCCCCCCGTCCCTCTCCTCCCTGCTCAGGGCAAGTGGTGCTCAGAGAGGCACCATGTCTCAGCTCTGGTGGCACAGATGAGGTCCTTTGCCCCCCAGCGCCTCTCATGAGTAAGAGGAGAGGTGGGTAACACTTAGCTGAATGAGCATCAGCATCCCTGTCCCCAGGCCAGCTGGCAAAGGTCCTCTCTAGAGCAGGTGAGAAGGGGACACACTGTAGGACAGCCACAGCTGAGCTATCCTGGAGCTCCATGGGATACCCCCGGGCTGGGAAGGATGGACCTTCCCTGGGCACTTACTGCGGATCTGCTTCTTGATCTCCTTGGAGGGGTCCAACCAGTTCTGCAACAAGGAGACAGCTGGTCAGGGGGGTCCCCACCATGCAAGGGGCAGCTGTAGAGGGACCCCGCCGTGCTCACCTTCTGGCTGTCTGAGTCACAGAAGGTGAGGCCGAAGTAGTCCTTCTCCAGGAGGTTGAGGTGCTCGCACACCATGTCAAAGAGGACCTGGCCTCGGGCGTGTTTCTGTCAGAGACATGGAGAGGCTGATGGTGAGCTGGCTCAAGGGAGACCCTTCAGGTGACCCCTAAAAGGTGCTCTCATCTGGCAGTGGGTTTCACCATGCCCCATCCCTGTAGCCCTGGGATCACCTGGGCTTTGCACCACTTTAAGGACACCCAGGTGGTCCCTGGGCTGCAGGGATGGGCTGCTGGTGGCAGCAGTGGTGGGATTCCCAAGCAGAGCACGGACAAATGAGAGCCACTAAGAGCCCAGGCCATGTGCAGCAACGGAGGGCACCCTCGGTATAAACAAATTCCAGAATGGGTTTGCATTGGAAGTGACCGTAAAGATTGTCTAGTTTCACCCCCCTAACATGGGCAGGGACACCTTCCACTAGACCAGGTTGCTCTAAGCCCCATCCAACCCAGTCTTGAACACTTTGAGGGATGGGAATTCCCCTGAATTTCTCTTTGTTACTGGTGGCAGTGAGGCCCAGGCTCCCTCATGGACACTGAAGAACAACCCTTCCCACGTGTGTATCTCCTCGATTTCCAGCCTGGCAGCTCCCATCTCCAATCTCCCCTCTCCAAGACATCCATTTACTGGAGCACCTTTACCAGATGCCCCCTAGGATGGCAGCACAGCACAGCAAGCAGCACAGCACAGGCTCCTGCTTGCCCTCCAAAGCTTTTCCAGTACTTGCCATCAACTTTCCTGGGTCTCCTCCCTCCTTCCAACTTGGGTTTGAAGGTAGGGGCTCACCCATGGCACATGCTGGGGTGTCACACTCAACAGTTTTACTCCCCCATTTGATTTTGACTGAATTAAGGTTTAATTAAAACACAGGGAAAAGGCACAACTACTCCAACAGTGTCTGCCAGAAAAAAGAAGAAATGCAGCACTGGACCTTCTACCTCTAACCCTGTCCTCTGTGCCCCAGATGGCTTTTTTGGAGAGCAGCACCTGTCTAAAAGTTGACCCCATTCTTGGGCAATGTGGCAAGGGGTATTGCTCTGCTCTGCTCTGCCAGCACCTGTGACCTGAGATTCTCCTGGCATCCCCGTTTGGTTGGCTAGTGCTCTGGGAAGAGCCAGGGGAAAGATGACCCCACTGGGGCTCATGAGCCACCCTTGTGCCCTGTCAGCTCCCTGAGGTGCTCTGCTCCTTTCCTCCTTTGGGAAGTCTTTTATCTTGCTGCCAACTCATCCTTCTACAGCTCTGTGAACAATTTTACCACTAAAGTGACAGCCAGGGCTGCTGGAGCACAGAGATCAAAGGCTCTGCTGCCTGTGCCATGGGCAGGGACATCCCCCCCCGGCTTCCTCGGGGTGTTCCCTCCTCTCAGGCAGCCACACTCCCTACATTCATCAATCCCACGCAGCTGAGACCTGGATCAGCCAGGACCTGCATACAGATCCTCTCCATGCAGCCAGCTTCAAGCTACTGACAGCAAACACCCGTGTACCTACTTGCCAGAGCAAGGGCAAAGGTCTCCCTGGAAAAGGCTCTCAGATTTCTGCTTCTGAACAACCTCAGCTTTTCCTTTTTAAGCAAAGTTGCTAGTCCCTAAAAATGTCCCTCCCTCCCTCCGGGCTCATGGCGCACATTGGAGCACCACTGCCTTCCCAGCCTGCAGGCAGGAGACAGAAGGAAGTGCTGGAGATGGAACAGCTGCTCCCTCCGTCCCTCACTGCAGGCACTGCCAGGCACCTCTCCCCTCCATTCCTCCCTGCAGGCACTGCCTGGTGTCTGTCCCCTCTGTCTCTCCCTGCCGTGACACCCACTGCCAGGGAACAGTGCACACCCACGTACACCCGTGTGTGCCCATGCCATGTGCCTGTGATGATGCCTAACGAGCAGGTGGCCTCAGACCCAGAGCAGGGTGCTGGACCACCTGCCTGTGCACCCTGCCCTGCCTGCATGCACGAAGATGCAGCCACAAGGATGTCCACATGTGTTCACCCTCATGTGCACATGCACACACGTGACACTACCTCGCCGTGTGCTCACTGGCCCACCAGCTCCATGGGGAGGGACAGCAAGGGAGAAGAAGATGAACACAGAGAAGATGGACACAAAACCACCTGGGGCAGCCAGGAGGGCCCCTGCATGTCACCTCCTTTGCACTGACACGTGTACAGATACCCGTGTGCACACATGGGACAGCCAACACACCTGGAGGTGCCGCAGCCAGGCTGGCACCGGGTGTGTGGTGCACGCACTGTCAGGCAGAGCTCTACCCCCAGCCATAAAGTTTCCAATTTAGACATTGTTTTTTGTTGTGAGTAGCTGCCAAATTTGCCTTCACTGGGCTGAAATTCCCTGCTGGGGTCTGTCTTTCCAGATTTTTTCCTTATGTTGAAATTTCAACTTAAATGGCTATTTCTGTGGATACTTTTCCCTAGGAGAGAGGTACTACAAAGCCACTTGCAAGAGCCCTGACATGGGGACTCGCTGGGCTGGGCAGATTCCCTGGGCTGAGAGTGTCCCCTCCTTGGTGCTAGCACAGCCCCTCAAAGCCAAGACTCACCTCCACCTCACACTCATACTCGGAGGCATCAAGCAGGGTCACCCTGCACAGGGCACTCTTCACTTTCTTGGTGGTTTTCTGGGGTGACTTCTGGGTCTTGCTGGGGGTTGTTTTGTCAGAGAGCCCATCTGTCTCACTGTAGTCCTTGTCCTCCATGTCTGTGCCCTGGAATGGGGAGACACAGAATGTTACCTGGCACCACCGCCAGGATGGACACACAGAGGGGGAAAGCCCTCCACAGCAGGCAGAAGAGGGCAGCCGGTGGCAGGGAGGCTGATGACCTCTTAGGAGTCCTCAGTCAAGCCTAGTTTTCCCAACCCACACTGCCAGCACAAGCCAGGTCCCTGGAAAATGGACACCTGGGGCCAGTTCAGCACCCAAAACCTCCTTGCCCAACAGCTCAGCTCCGCGGCAACTCTGCAGCCAACAGCGGGTGTGGCCGCTGCTCCCAGCCCTGCCCAGGGCAGCTCAGCAGGGGACACGGGACCACTTGCTCCCTCCCTGTGCCCCGACCTGCACTGCCATTCCCAGCCCCGTCAGCATTCCAGGCTGCCGCATGGCTCTTTCTGCCTGTCCTGCCCTGCCTGCAAGGAGCTGTGGGCAAGGAGCTGGGCAGCTGTGCAAGCAGCTGGCAGAGCCACCACCACCCTGGCTGGGGGGGCTCCCCTCCAGTACGTTCCCCTCGGGCACAAGGGATGTGCCCACTTCACTGGGCTCCTGCAGCCCCCGCACCGCAGCAAGGCCACAGTGACTGACAGCAGTGAGCGGTGGCACACCCTCTCCTCTGCTGCGCCTCCCCCTCCTGCCTCTCGTGGCACCCGTCTGTCACCCACTCACTGGCTCCATATTTCGGGCATCGGACTGTGCCCCGGGCTTCTCGTTGGCGTCGCTGTCCCGGCCAGTGGGGTTGGGGGCTGCGGTGGGGCCGTGGGCAGCCGCCTCCAGCTGCTGCTGCGGAGCCTCTTCCTGCGCATTCCTCACCTCCGACCCGGGGCCCGTCTCCGTTGTCATGGCTGCTGGTCACCCCGCTCTGCCACCGCCACCCGAGGAAGAGACAGGAGGGGTCACTGAGGTCACACGGGCATGGACGATGTTGGCTAGGCAGCCAGCAGCTGGGATGCCCTGGCTGCACGGGAGCCTTGGGACAAGCCCATCTCTGCCCCACTGCCTGCATGCATGGATCCGCTGCCAGACCCCGGCTCCCTGTCCACTCATGGATCCGCTGCCAGACCGCGGCTCCCTGTCCATGCACAGATCCACTGCCAGATCCCAGCTCCCTGTTCTTGCACGGATACTCTGCCAGACCTCGGCTCCCTGTCCGCTCATGGATCTGCTGCCCAGTGACAGGGACCCACCACAGGCAGGGCTTGGCTCATGCCCCATCTCTGCACTCACAGCGGGCAGTGAGGCTGCCCTGACCCCCTGCTCCCCCCTGCGCTGCACCCATAGGTACCTTCACTCATGTTTTTTAGGAGTGGGAGGAAAAACAAGGCTGTGAGTCACGGGAAAGCCTGCACTGACAAAGGAAATGACAAACATGTTCCCACGGTCAGCGTGGGACCCTGTGGAGCGGCGAGATTCCTGCCTCCAGCCCCAGCTGCCTGTCCAGTGCATGATGCAAAAACAAACCCAGGGCCAGGAACAGCGAGGGGAAGGCACTTTCCATGCCGGGGTGCTCAGCAACATGTTTTTAGAACATTTATGTTTTTGAAACCTTTTATGCCAATGTAGTGTGGGCTGGCAAGAGCTCCTGGGATGATCCATGCACCAAGGTCATGGAGCACCCTCTGGACCATCACCCACCCGTCACTCAGGCTGCTCAGGCCCCACCAGCTCCCCATCAGTCTGTGCCAGATCTGCTGGGATCGCCCCCATTGGAGTGTCCGAAGGCTGTGGCTGGACGAGGCGGCTCAATCAGAGCATCTCCCTGGGGTCACATCACCCACCCTGCCCACGGAACAGCCACACCAGCAGCCCTGAGTAATGCCTGCAGCACCATAAAACCTGCACTTTAGTGGAGTGTGTAAGCCCACACAGGACATTTCTGATCCCCATTCCAATTCCAACCCCCTGCCATGGGCAGGGACACCTTCCACTAGACCAGGTTGCTCCAAGCCCCGTCCAACCTGGCCTTGAACACTTCCAGGCATGGGGCAGCCACAGCTTCTCTGGCCAGCCTGTGCCAGGGCCTCACCACCATCACAGGGAAGAATTTCTTTCCAATATCCAATCCAATCCTGTCCTCTGGCAGTGGGAAGCTATTGCCCCTTATCCTGTCTCTCCGGACCCTGGTAAAAAGTCTTTCTCCATCTTTCTTATAAGCCCCCTTCAGGCCCTGGAAGGGGTTCTCAGGTCTCCCTGGAGCCTTCTCTTCTCCAGGTGAACCCCCCCAGCTCTCTCAGCCTGGCTCCAGAGCAGAGGGGCTCCAGCCCTTGGAGCATCTTCGTGGCCTCCTCTGGATTTGCTCCAACAGGTTGATGTCCTTGTGCTGAGGATCCCAGAGCTGGAGGCAGCACTGCAGGTGGGGTCTCACCCAAGCAGAGCAGAGGGGCAGAATCCCACCCTCACCTGCTGCCCACAGTGTGGGATGAGCCCACGACTGGTTTCTGGGTACCAGCACATATGGCCAAGTCACATCCAATTTGTCACTGACCAGGACCCCCAAGTGCCTCTCCCCAGGGCTGCTCTCAACCCACCCAGCCTCCAGCCTGTGCTGATGCTGGGGGTTGCCCTGACTCAGATACAGGATCTTGCACTTGGCCTGGTTGAACTGCATGAGGTTCACATGAGCTCACTCCTCCTGCCTGCCCAGGTCCCTCTGGATGCCACATCCCTGGTGAATCTGCTGCACTGCTCAGGCTCAGTTCGGTGTCACCCACGGACTTGCTGACTTTCTGTTACAAAGCAAACCCATCCCACGCCACAGCTCCTGTCCCTCCACCGCCCTTCAGGTGTCCTCAGCAGTGGGAAAATGTGAAACCTTACCCATAAAAATGGCTAAAACTGACTCCAGGGGTGAGAGAGAACAGAGAGGAGGTGACAGGGAAGACACAGGAGTCAGCCTGTGCCTCCTGCCACCCAATTCGGCAGTGCAGGATCATCTGGGAGCATCCCCCTTCCATGCACACAGGTCAGTGACACTGCTGCTGGCCATGCTGGCTGTGTGGTCACCACAGAGGGACTCTGTTCACACCAACAGGCCCAGGACTTCACCACCCTGCCCCAGGGCCACACTCTTCTGGCCATGACAGGCAGGACAACCTGCCACAGGCCCCTGAGGAGCATTAGCTCAGCTCCTCCTGACAGACCCCACTGCTTGGCCAAGGGCACCAGAAGCTTTCAAGGGTCACCAGTGGTTTGGTTTTTTCCACAGAGAAAACAGGGCTGCTGTTTTTCCACTGCAAATTCAAGCAGTTGCATGCTCCCAGCTCCAATCCCTGGGTGGATCATTCCTAAGTGCTTCTGCCTGGATCTCAGTGTGTGAATTTTTTAATCAATATGAAATCTCTAAAATGATAACCATCCCTTCAGGCCAAAAACACGCTGGGTTTTTCACTCAAGGTTTCTAAACTTTCTTCCAAACTACTTTTTCCCTCTGCAGTGGGAAGCATTGATCCCTGAGGAAATGAGGCCTTTTTTTAAGGGTAGTAGGCTAGGAATTCATCCCATCTTGCCCAGCCAGACCTACTTTTGCATATTAAGCTCCAGTTCCAAGCAAGGAGCCTGACCTAGGGACCCTGACTACCAGCTGAAGCCCGTGAGAGCACAACACAGCAGTGCCGGGGTGGCAGACCCCTGGTAAAGGAGCTGGCAAACCCCCAGGGACCATCTCCCTGCTCACACCATGACCTTGCTTCTCCTGCCACCCTGCTTTGGAACCCTGGCCACCATCCCCCTTCCCTGGTCCCAGTAATTCCCACTGCACGCTCTTCCTTCCTGCAGCACCACGTGTCTCTGTGCCTGGGCAGAGACACAGGGCTCTATACAGCCACAGAGGAAACCTCAGCTCCGATGGATCCCAGCCCAGAAAGGGCCCATTGAGCCCATCCCTGTGGCATTGCTCCTGCCCCAGCAGTGTGGAACACAGCGGGGACGATCAAGCCCCCCTCCAAACTTTGGATGGGCTCAGGAGGAGCAGGGAGCCCCTCAATCTCTCACCTTGCAGCCATGGTGGGGAGACTCCAGTCCCCACACAGGGTCATTGCTGGGGGATGAGGGTCAGGGAGCTGCCCCAAGGGAGCTGGGGCTGGCAGTGGGGCAGTGGCCCTGGGCATGACACTACTGCAGCTGAGCCCTGCAGCTGCACAGCCCCAATGGAGGGGCCACACTGGCACCGCCACACTCCTGGGCACAGCCACAATGCTGCATTCAGGGGCTGGTGGGTGTGGGTGCCACAGCTGTGTGGGCAGTGCTGCTGCTCAGGGTTCCCTGCCCACAGTGGGGCTGAGTGGAGAGGTCGGAAGCATGGAATCAGGGCTCTGCCAGCACTGCCACTCACCCCAATGCTACTGGCAGCCAGGGGGCTCAGGGCTGGCTGGCACTGAAGGTCAGCACCAGCCTGGCAGCACCAAGCCCCTGGGGATGGTGGCACCAGCCCCTAGAGCTCTGGCCAGCAGTAGGATGCTGCCACCCTCCATGGAAGCCTGGTCATCTGCTCCCGGGGCTGTGGGAGGACACCAAGGCCAACATGACCACCAGCACCCCAACTGTCCCTTGTGCCAGGCTGGGAGTGTTCAGCACCCTGAGGGCACCTGCAGGCTCTGAAGGGACCTGAGATTCACAGTGAGGCAACCACTGCAACCTGCCTCAGCCCCTTCTCCCCACTTTTTTCCCCATGGCCTTTTCTGTGGCATTCAAGAGCTCCAGAAGCAGATGTTGGTTATCATGGGAGCAGCTCTGTGGCTCAGACAGGAGCTGCCCCTGATGTGGAGGTGGCAAGCAAACCTCAGACAGCACGCAGCAGCCGTGGAGTGTTGCCCATCACACAGCACCTTCTGGATGCAGAACTCAGCTTCTGCTGCCCACCCTATGCAGGAGACTCTGGTGTGGGGGACCATGGGTTGAGAAAGGACACAGGTCCCAGCGTGCTGCCAAAGGGATAGTTTCATTGACGATTTCCACCACAAACCTTTAAAAGAGATATACACCACAACTGCAGCGAACTGGGTAGAGACAAGTAGAGATGCTGTCCCAAATAATTTTTTTCTAAATATTTCCCACAGAAGGAGCAGGACCCAATTCCGTTGGGTGCCAGCCTTTACCAGGCTGTCCCAGCCCTTCCCAGTACCTAGCCTTTCTCGTGCACGTCCCCTCGGGAGTGCAGCCAAGGCTGGAGCAGCTCCCATGCTGAGGCTGGCAGCTGCCTGGCAGTAGCTGGAGAAGGCAGGAGGCAGCGGACACCGTCCCCCCAGACCCTTCCCTGTGCAGGATGATGGCCGAAGGGTTCCTCGGCACCCACTGGCCCCAGTGCCATGCACCCAGTTTTCAGCAAGGCCACGTTTTCAGCACAAGCCCAGTTTCCAGCAAGGGCTGGCTCAATTCTGCTGCCGCTGGACCCCTATGGACTGGGGGTTGTTCTCCAAAGGGGAAATGGCTGGAGCTGAAAGGAGCTCCAGGCTACTGGAACAGGCACGTGGGAATGGCAACTGCAAAGAAAGCCTTAGCAGGATCAGAGGCAGACCTGCTGATCAAGCCTGGAATCTCCTCCCCTCATCTCCCTGCCTGCTCCTCCTTCCCTTGGTGTTTTCCTCTTCTTCCCCCTTCAAGCCAGAGTATGGATTCACAGCTTTCCCAAATGCTCTGCCCCAGCACATCCTGCCTCCAGCGTCCAAAACGCTCCCCACTCAGGACCTTCCCTTCCCTGCCACCTCCAAGCTGGTTTTGCTGCAGCCTGCTCTCCCCTTCCCCTGCCCAGTCACTCCCAGTTGCCAGGATGGTTTCCAGGGCTGACCATCCCCCTTTGCTACTTGGCTCTGTTTCCCCCCCACTATCTGCCGAGGCTGCTGCCCATCCCTGAAGTTTAACCTCTGG